TTGGGTTTTGTTGATGTTGTTGTTGTTGTCATTGTACTGTTGACTGTTAAAATTCAGTCATTTGATTTCTATATTCCTTCCACATTCCAGTGGAGCCCAAGAGGTAGACAGTGCTTTTTCCAACCTCCAACTTGTGTTATTAACAATCAGTGCTTCAACATTTGCTGATGTGGGTTAGAGATGCAGCAATTAGGAAACCTGTTATCATCTAGGAGCAAACAGTGATGACCCTGAATTACACAGGGAAAGCAAATTTTAATACCTGCTGACAGATTGAATTTCTCTCTAAAAATGTCAACACTAAATGTTCAAACTAATAAGGACTTGAACTGTGATGCTGTACTACTGTTTTCACTGTTGTAGACTGTCAGCACTTCAGTTGCTTAACTTTATTTGTAAGATCAGGTTTTTTGTTTTAATATTCTCAAAACTTAGTCAATGCTACAATTGTACTACAAACTTAAAAGTGAAAAATAATAGTATTGTAGCTTCAAGAAACTCAGAACTTTTTCATGTAAAAGACCTGCTGCATCTCAATTCTTTTATCTCAGTTATTTTTTTTTATGGTCAAAAATTCTCATCAAGCCATCTAATATAAAATCTCATTGCTATTTCTAAATTTAGAAATATTTTGTTTTCCACTACAATCTTCTAAAAATCTCTTCGTGTTTAGTCTTTTGTGTTCATTTCCAATCTCTCAAATGCACCCGAGACTTCTGAGTGCTTTCTTATATCCTCAGGTATAATAAATTGTCTTTTAGACCATTTTTCATATAATCATAGACTCATTATGGTTGGAAAGACCACTTCTTCTATTCCAACTATCAACCCATACCTGTGACCACTCTAAACCATGTCTGTCAGTGCCAGATCTATGCATTTCTTGAACACTTCCAGGACATTGACTCCCCCACTTCCCTGGGCAGCCTGTGCCAATGCTTCACCACTCTTTCTGAGAAAAGCTTTTCATACTATCCAAAGTGAATCTTTCCTGACAGAGCTTGAAGCCATTTCCTCTCATCCTATCATCCTCCCTGTTACGTGGGAGAAGAGGCCCAACACCTACCTCACTATAACCTCTTATCATGGAGCTGTAGAGAACGATAAGGTCTCCCCTGAGCCTCCTCTTCTCCAAACTTAAATAATCCCAATTCCTTCAGCCACTCCATATAAGACTTGTGCTCCAGATCTCTCACAGTTTCATTACCCTTCCCTGGACACACTCCAGGGCCTTGATGTTTTTCTTCTAGTGAGTGGCCCAAAACTGAACACCATAGTGGATGTGCAGCCTCTGCAGAGCTGAATTCTGGGGATGATCTCCTCCCTGCTCCTGCTGGCTGCATTATTTTTGATACAAACCAGGATGCCATCGGCCTTCTTGGCCACCTGGGCACACTGCTGGCTCATGTTCAGCCTGATGTCAGCTAACACCCCCAGGTCCTTTTCCTACACACAGCCTTCCAAACACTGACCCAAGCCTGTGTGACCTCAGCAATTACACAGATTTCCGTTTGGTCATTTATTTGTCCTTTCACCTACTGTGTGATTTTATCACTTTCATAAGCTACCAGAATTAGTTTGTTAGATCATTAATGATTCAGGCAATTTGTTGGACCTCTGCAGATATATTCTGGTATGTAAAAATTTGGCAAATTTTACTAAGATGCACTCCAGCAGCAATACTTCTACCTTTCTTGAAAGGGCATAAAATTAGTGAATCAGCCTTAACTGCCTTTCTTGTCAGTATATCACAACTTTAGTGCCCTTTTAATTGCATGGGAACCTTTCAAGTGTGTTATTTAGATTCAGAGGTGAATCTGAAGGAAGCATGAAACATTTTTTTACTGCCACTGCTCACGTCTAGCAAATGCAAAGCTATTAGGAAACAGGTCCTCTGGAATGACCCCATATATGAAGAAGTGCAAAGAAAAAAGGGCCCTTTCCCAGTGGGGAGGACTAACATGGCAGTTCTGATAGCAGAAATGGAGCATCATTCTTTCATTCCCTGTTCACATTTCAAATGCAGCAGTCACTGTAGTATGTAGGCATCAGTAAGAGAAGAATGAGGAATGAGATTAAAGAAGCTGATCTGAACTGGGTTAAATACTACCTGCATTGACTGTCTTTCTATTTTGTGGTCCAGATTTTTGTCAGGAGAAAGGGGCAGGAGTATATTTCAGGATGGCTTTTTTTAGTGTATAACATGAAGGTGGTAATGTGGGAAAATACAGAGCCATAAAATTGGTTATTTTCCAATTATCATGTATTTCAAGCCAAAGAGGGAGGAAAAAAAACCCAAGAACACAAAGGAAAAGAATGATCATTCTTATTTTAGCATTTCTTAAAATGAAGCAGGGAGTAGTCATTTGAATTCTGAACTCCCACCACACACTTATTAAACAAATTCTAATATGTGCTGTGGTTTCAAAATGTCTTCTGGAAACAGAACATTATTTAGAATAAGTTTGTAATCAGTTGAAATCTATTGATGACGACTCATCTAGCAGTTAGTTTCCCTGGCCTCAGCGCCAGGTTAGAACTGGATAATCTTTGAGGTTCCTTCCAACCCAAGCCATTGTGTGATTAAATTCCAAGTTAAGCTCCAAGTGCCCTTGTAAATCAGAATAAAAGCTGTAATCTGACCAACCCATGGTCGCATGCTGATGTTAGAGTTGCAAGTAGCTGGGTGTTGTGTTAGAGTCAGATTTTCAGTCCTCTCTTCTCATTCTCACTCCGACACCTTACATACAGAGTCTGCCTGGGACATGGTTGTTCAGTAAGAGAAAGCTGCCATTACACAGCTGCTCTGATGCAAATCATTCAAATCTTTGGCCTCATCCAGGTAGAAAATATCAAAGAAACGGGATTGTGCCATATAGAATAACTCTTGATTCGAACCATTAAAACCACTATTTAGAAGAACCATTTGAATTGGAGTGGACCTCTAATCATCATCTAGTTCAGCTCCCCTGCAATGAACAGGGACACATACAGGTCAGTCAGGGTGCTCAGAGCCCTGTCCATCTGCATGTTCACTATCTTCTTTCATGTATCCAGCACATGAAACAGACCTAGTAAAAACCCTGATATCATGGTGTTCCATCTTTATGCAGAAGACTGATACTGTGTGAGCTACAGAAATGGAGGATCTTTCTTGTTAAGTTCACCTTTTCTGTTTGCCAAAAAGAAATGTTAAGTCTGTTATAATGAAATAGCAGTTTTAGACAAATCCCTAGTTGGAAGATGGTTATTTACTAAATGAATTGTAGAGCGGAAGAATAGAACAAGTATGACTCACATAGAGAAAACATAAATCCTAGACTGGGATAAATATTTCAGAAGTATATCCCACTTTACAAAACTATATAGGTTTGTAGGAGCATTAGTACCTTCAAGGCTTTTTAATCACCGAGAATTTTGAAGATGTGCTGTAGGTGAAAGAAATAAGAAACAATCTAAAGAATAATTCTGAAATACAGTCTGTATGTAGGAGTGTCTGTTCTCCTGACATGCAAAATTTCAGCTGCAGTTGGTGAAGTCGCAGGTACGTGGGAAGATTGAAGAGCCTATATCCCAGCAGTGCTTCCCAGCTGATTGCCAAAGTAGACACTGTCACTTAGAAAATTCAATAAACAATGCAAAAGAAGCTCAGTGGAAAATGAGCCTAACTGTAACAAGAGGAAAAATTAAAGTAAGTAAATAAATAAATAAATAAATACACAGAAGCCCAAATTAAACCACTCTGGTAAGGCATTTTGATGGTAGCTAGCGACTGTACAAAATGTGGGATCTTGGAAATGTCAAATGTGGTTATCCAGTGAAAAGTTAAAGGGCATCAAATAAAATGAATTAGCTGTTAAATGAATTAGCTGTTAAAGACATTCTGGAAATGGAGCCAGTGTGAACAGCAAATTATTGAACAAAAATAATGCTGAAATTTCTGCTAGGGGAAAATGAGAACATTGCTGTCCTACAGAATTCTCATGTAGCTCAAACAGCAGCAAACAGGGAGCAAACTGATAGTGACAGTGATAGAAAGAGAGAGAATGGCTTTAAGTTGCTCCATGGGAGGTTCAGGTTGGATAATAAGAAAAATTTATTCTCAGAAAGAGTGGTCAGGCACTGGAACAGGCTGCCCAGGGAGCTGGTAGAGTCACCATCCCTGGAGGTGTTCAAGAACTGTGGAGATGTGTCACTGAGGGACATGGTTTAATGGGAATGTGTGAAGGGCTGCTGGTTGGACTGGATGGTTTCTTCCAACCTTAACAAAGCTATGATTCTATGATTCTAGATCCTGCTTTTGAAGCAGTCAGTGTAATAAAATGCTGAAATGTGGGGGACATCATTTTCTCTTTGCTGGCATCAGTATGCAACATCTTACTCTTCAAAGTGTCACTGACTCAGTGAAATGAATCGTTGTCCACCCCCTCTCATGTTAATCTTCAGCTCGCATGGGTAGATCTCCCAGTTTGGGGTTGAGTTGTGATTCCCTGTGTTGCTGGAGCATTGCCTTTACTAGTTGGTTTCAAGAAATAAAAGCTTTTTTCAAAAACCTTATTTTTGGGGGATAATTGGACTTTGATGTACTTCCTGCAGCTTAGTGAGATTTTATACTCAGTACTTGAATAATTAATAACTTCAGTGCATCATTCCATTGACCCTGTCAAGGTATCTCATTGTTTGCAAGAAGAAATGATATAGTAGTGATCTGTTTTTAACATACCTTTTGCAGACTGCAGCGTACTCAGTAACACATTTTAAACCTAATTCTCTTCATTGAAATCCAGGAAAGAGGGTCTGCATGTCAGTATGGAAAGTGCTGAAAGTTTCATGTACTGCAATTAAAAAAGCTGTGTATTTACCGAAGAGATTCTACTAGACCTCAATTTTCAGGGCATGCTTTACTCTTGTTAATTTAATATTTACATTTAGCAGCCTTAATGATTATATAGGTCAAGAAAACTAAAATATTCTTATTCTGTGTTTTTTTATCTCCTCAGAGTACGCTCGGTTTGAGGCAAAAATCCATGACCTGCGTGAGCAGATGATGAATCACAGCATGAGTTCTGGGTCTGGCTCCCTGAGGACTAATCAGAAGAGGTCACTGTATGTCAGGTGAGCAGGGAGAGCTTTCTCCTGGGGACATGTCACCAGCTTTCTGGTCCACGACTGATTTTTGTGCGATGGGTTCAGCTGGGTAGTGAGGAGGTTTGAGGAGCTGAACTGAACTGAATTGAGAAATGCATCAATCTTACAAACACAACATCATTAATGTGAAAATTGAATAATGCTGTATTGCTTAATCTTATCATTTCAAGCTGTTTTCAAAGAGCATTATACTTTTATAGTGATTAGGTTTTATGAGATGAAGATTTCTTAGCCATTGTCAGCTCTTCGATATCCAAGATGGATTTTGTGGTGTAGTGACGCACTGCGATCCTGCATGGGGCCTTAACCAGACATGGAACGTTTGTTCTCATAAAATGTACATTCTCTGTGAATTATACTCCAAAGCAAAGACTTTCACATACTGTTCTAAGCATGTGCCAGTCTGCAGTTGTCCCCTTGCTCATACAATCATAGAATCATTAAGGTTGGAAAAGACCTCTTAGGTCATCTAGTCCAACCATCCACCTACCACCAGTATTGCCCACTAACCACGTCCCTCAGTGCCACATCTAAATGTTTCTTGAACACCTCCAAGGATGGTGACTCCATCACCTCCCAGGGCAGCCTGTTCCAATGTCTCACCACTCTCACTGAGAAAAGTTTTTCCTACTTCCAACCTGAACCTCTCCTGGCACAACTTGAGGCCATTCTCTCTCATCCTATTGCTTGTTGCACAGGAGAAGAGGCCAAGTCCCAGCTTATTACAACCTCCTTTCAGGGAATTGAAGTGACTGATAAGGTCTCCCCTGAGCCTCCTCTTCTCCATATTACAATAAATTTACCATCTACCTTGCAAGATCAAATATGCAGATGAGACACTTAACAAGATAATATAGGTAGCTTAAATGGGGCAGTGAGCAACACAGGAATTACCTAACTGTGGGCCAGGCGTAGCAGTTACAGTTTTGCTTGGACTGAGCAAGTCTGTTGATGGAAATTATTTCTGGCTGAAAGACCAGAGTTCTGAAATTAGCCCTAGAAAAGTTCTCGCTGTCACTCATGCCTTTGGAGACCCTGGGAGACTATAGAACTCAGTGCCAAATATTTTAATAATCTTAATAAATATGCTTCTCTAGGTTTTTCATTTTTATTTTTTTCCCTCATGCTCAGCATATAATTTGAAATTTCTGACAATCATGAAGTAAAGGGAAGCAATTTGTCAGCCTCCAGGCAGTGATAATTATTCATGGGGGAGCTAATTCAGGTGATAACATTGCAGAGATCCAATTAAGGCTAAATTCTCCATTTTGTCATTATGCCCTCAACGTGAAGGGACAAAGTAACACAGAAGGATGGAAAAAAATACTGGCACTGATAGACTCATTCTAGTGAACAGCAACCACATTGAGCTCTAATTGGTACTGTTGCCAGAAAGGGCAAGAACTGACGTGCTGTGGATCAGTGTTAGCAGAGAACTATTGGACAAGATCAGGTTGAAAGTGTCATGGCTTTGATGTATCTCTGACCTGTTCTGGCCTCTCTGGCTTTGAGTTGACTTCTGAAGCTATTCCACCTTGACTGGGTATTTTCCAGACCTAACAATGAGTGATTTAGTTGTAGAGAGTTTTGGTCAAACACTTGAAATTGCATTTTCAGAAAAGCTACAGTCACTGCACATGTAGAAACAGATGAAGCTTGCTTTGCTGTGAGCAAAGCCAGGAAATCAAAATGTAGGGAACAATGGCATGAGAAATCCACACCGGCAACTACAAGTCAATTCAAGTGTACACAAAAAGGGTCCTGAACAATTTGCTGGTTTGAGCTTCATGAGAACTCATTACCCCTCTATCAGCATGGATCTGGTAAGCCCTGCTGAGAATCAGGGCTTATTAGCTTCCACACCAAGCCAAGCTAATAAATCTCTGCAGAATCTGGAGTAGCCTTGGTCCTCTATGTTTTCTAATAACTTATGTATTCTGGATATGGTCTGTTCTCAGTGAGATGATGTGCCTTGGGGCTTCACTACAGATGTCTTTGTGGTCTTAGCCACATATCTAAATATCACTTCCCCAGTCATAAGTGTAATATTTGGTTTTTTATTCCAGACTTGTTCCAAAAGAATACCCCAAACCTCTAAAGAAAAAAACCTCAAAAGCCTCCGTCACATTTATTAACGTAAATTTGTGCAATCAAACCCACACAGATGGCTGTGTCCAACTCTGAGAAATCTACTTGGGAAACTCTGTATTTTAAATATTATTATAATGTGCAGTGCAGCAGTGCCTGGAGCATTGAACTAAGCACTGCTTCTTCAAATCATACAGTAATTAAAAAGGTAGCTTATGTCTGCATTAAGCACTGTGGAAAAAAATAAATATGGATTGGGAAATGTGCTTGTTTACTGAGATTAAAATTTTCAGTGAACTTTATGGATAACTCTTTACAGCCAGTGACCCTGTAAAATGCCTGGGATTCAATGTACTTTAGAATTCTTATACCTCAAGGCATTTCTACTTCAGTGGCTTATCCTGGAGAGAATCTGCAAAAGAACTAGAGGCAAATTACCGTATGTTGCAAATCTGCAGTTGTAAAGACAAGTTAACGATTTTCTCTCTGTTTTCCTTTCTTTGGTATGTAGTGATTTCGCTGTCCTTCACTGAACATAAGCAGTTATTTTTCAGCCAGAGTGCTTAATCAAAGCAAATACCATTGCAAGGAAATAACATAAAGATCCACGTAGGTTGAAAATACCTATCATAATCTGCTCATCGAAAAGCCAACAGAAAAGAATATGAGAAAAACCAACGCTCTGTGAGGAGACCTCCCAGTAGATGCAGGGCTCATTACTTCTCATGCATTCTCTGATTTCCCCCAACCCCAACATTTGCTGGGCTGCGGGATTTCACCTCTGTTTTGAGGACCCCCATCTCAGCCAGCCTGCAAGCACCTTCCTTCAGTCTCTCTGCTGTCTTGGAAAACTCTTCAGAAAACATGGCATGCCAATAAGCCATTTTTTGATCCATCATTTTATTTGCTTGTGGTCCACTATGCAAACCTCGTCTTCACTGTGTTTGCTTTGTTTCCCTTAATGCTTAATGACCAGAGTATTCATCTATATCTTAGCTAGTCACTCTGAGGTTCCCTTTGGATGGAAAGAGAAGGGCATCTCCAGAGAGGGAATCTGCCTGCATCTTATTCATCTAACCTGTTCTAGACATCTGTGACAAAAGTATTCTCTCTGTAGAAACTTAGGTTTCTACATCTGTAGCTAGAGAGCAATCCAGACTCCCAGTGTAATAGCACAGTATTTTAACTGAGATGTATAAAAGTAGTTACGTGAAATGAAGAGAGGTGAAAGTGTAGCACAGAGTTAATAGTTTCAATGTAAGGCTAGAATTAGTCAGCTGATAGAAATTAAAAGTCATACATAAATGCAGATTCCACAGGAAAACAATTGAGAATTATTTATTCAGGATAAATTGTGTCACCTTTTGACATGGACTTTTTTCTGTGCATACTTCAGTGTTTCTGTCTTTTTGTTGTTGTTGTTATTCATTATCCCAGCCTGTATTCAGACTTTCTGCTGCCTCTTAGAATATTTTCCAGGAATTTACTGAAAAGTTTTTTATGTACTGTCTGTTCCTTTTGTATCAGAAAAACTATGTCTCTGTTTGGGGTGTTTTCAGAGAGTTCACATCACTAATAGCAAAGTATTAAGAGACATCAAGGGAGAACTGAGCAGTGGGACATGCTGTTAATTAGGACCCCACATTCTCTTTGTCGCTTAATATCTCCAATGAGGAAAAAAACCACCGAAACAGAAAGTGTGAAGCAGCAAGTTCTATTATTTATAATTCATTCGTTGCTAGTGGTGAATGAACTTAATTTGAATTCAATAACTGACATGAGAGGATAAAAAATTCCACTCTTATCCTTTCTAATTCATTGGAATTCAGCTATCAGCTCATGATTAATGAGGGAAGTAAACAAACTTTTCACCAACTAAATGCTGCACTGTATACACACATAGGTCCTTTCAATTTTTTTGATGCAAATTCTTACCTTCCCTTTTTTTTGTCTTTTAAGTTCAAGTTTTTAAAATCTGCTCCTGTAAGACTATGTATTTCATTGTCTTAAAATAGATACATGCTTTGCTATGTTCTTCTAGATCCGAATTCACAGCCAAATGTTTTTAGCCAGCATGTGGGTACTCTTAAGAAATGCCAGATTACATTATTCAACCCAAAGACTGAAAAACGACAGTGCTTTGAAGAGTCAAGCATTAGGGAAATGCAGTCCTTTATGAAGTTTGGTGCATGCAAGCAGCCACTGAAATTTCCATGTAAAATTATCTACCTTTGGAGGAAACAGATCTATATGTGATGAAGGGTTTTTCTTCTGTTGATTTACTTGATTCCTCCTGAACTTAATGTACATGTTCTATATTTCTGAGGGTAAAAGTAGATACTTCAGTAACACGTGCCTTATTGCTGCCAGATGCACAAAGAAAAGGCTTTCAAGCAACCACAGGGATTGCAAGAGTTGCTTTCCTATGTTTTGCGATTGATAAGCTTGGAATAAACAGACAGAGTGCATTTAATCTTTATTCAGACCAGACAACTTCTGAAATAATGGCTGTAATTAAAAATTTCAATGGGCCAAAACCACAATCAGGTGCTGAGCTGCTGTATCACTCAGCAGTAATGACTCAAAAGCTTTATCAACACCCCTGTCCTGCCACTGCTGTTCTACTGTTTAAAATCTGTTTGATACGGTCAGTGCAAAATTGCTGCACCTGATTGTGGCTGTTTGCCCTCTATAAAGGGACTGGTTGAGGTCATGGAAATGCAGATATCTCAGCTACAGCACTGCTTTCAAATCTATCAGTATAAAGCAAATTGTACTAATACATGTTAAGGTGGGTGTGGAAATCAGAGCTGGGATAGGTCTAGATCCAGCTGTAATTTTGGGAGCTGGAATTTCTCCTAAATTAAATTAATGCTGAG